TTTAAATTTTTACTAGACATATTTTTTATACTTTAACCCTATAATTATTCCTTAACTTTAATTATCCACCTATCACTAGATTTTATTTTTTTAAGATAATATAAGTAAATATATAAATTATTCTTAAATGGTGAAAAAGATGACAATGATCATTTTGAGATACTGAGAGTACCTTTTAAAAAAAGAAATAAAGATAAAATGAGATATTTTATAATAAGATAAATAATTAAAATCAAAGAATGATGATAGGGCTAAACTAAAAAATATATATTTATTTCCTTAAAATATGAAAAAACAAAAATCAACCTCTAACCATTTCTAAGTCAAACAATCACTATTATTATTATTTTATTTTTGAATAAGTAGACATGGGTGGGTTCAAATCCACCATGGGAAGGAGGAGAATGCACCTCCAAAGTAGTCCGAAGGCCACTTGATCCGAAGAGTTAAGTGCAAACAACCACTATTATTTTGCAAAAGAGAGTAGAATTTTGTACATAAATCTAGAAATTAAGCTAAGAAGTTTCAAATCGCCAACTATCCTCGAAAGCAGGTAATATTCTCAGAAGTGGGGATTGTGGTTTCGAACCCAACCGCTTCCCTACCATTTAAAGGACAAACATATTACTGAAATAACTGCCAACTTCAAAAAAAAAAAAATAAAAAATAAAAAAAAAAAAAAAAAAAAAGGGAATTTAGTGGACTTTGTCAAATTAAAATTTTCTAGCAATACACGGTATTGAAATTTTCAAGCCAATGAGTTTGGTTCTTTCTTTGAATTTCAGTGTTTGGGCGGTCACAGAACGTGCATAGAAACATACATTTCATCTTTACTACTTATAAGGTTCCACCTATACTGTTTTCTAAATCTCAAATCTAATAAGCATTTGAGGTAACGAAAGAAATGATGATCATCCGCACATCATCTATCTTTGCTTTCTTAGTACTGCTAATGATTGAATCAGCAGCAGGCCAGGCTCTGGTGAAGCCTGGTTGTCGTCAAGACTCTTGTGGGAATGTCAGCATTCCATACCCCTTTGGAATCGGAACAGATTGCTGCATGAACAAAGGGTTTGAGGTCTCCTGTGATGACACTTCCGAACCTCCTAGAATATTCCTAAACCTAACCAGCGGAAAAATAGAGGTACTGTATTTCTCTCTTGTTCCCAGCTTTATTAGAGTCAAACTACCCATAAACTGCCTGAGGTGTACCAAAGCGTTGGCACCTTTGAATATTTCTGGAAGTCCTTTTAAGTCCGTCTGGTCAGCGGACACCTTAGAGGAAGAATATCTTCCAGGCGTGTTAGAATGGGGGATTACTGATGCGGATGTATCAAAATTGCCACCTACATATGAGAATGCATTTAATTGTTCCCAGTTTAGTGGTACTAATGATACTACTCGTTATGGTTATTATCGCGTGTTTTACGGGGATAATACTAATCTTTCGATGTCCTCAAGTGCAAATCAACAATGTGTTTGTGAACGTGGATTTCAAGGCAACCCTTATCTACCTCATGGATGTCACGGTGAACTTCTATCTCCTTCACTTTTTCTCTAGCTATATCTGTCTCGTTTCTTTTATTTATAATATTTATTATTTATTATTTTTTTACAATCATCTATCAACTTTGTTTTGTTTGAAAAACATTAAACATAATAAGGGAAAAAAAGTTTTAGTGCTTGTAACATAAGTTTTTTTAGAAAACATTGGATATTTATTCGGCCTTTTGATCCTGGTTAGTTTTACAAGAACCTGCAATAAAACTAACCAAGGGCAGCAGGCTTAGCCGTTGGAGATTTTTCTATGCCTATGCTATTTTCGTTTTTTTTTGCTCTATTTTTGTCCCTACTGTCTTGCTGATTTTATTTTTATTTCTTTGTCTTAGATATTGATGAATGCAATGACACTCGGTACAAAATCACGTGTTTTGCGGACTCAATTTGTGTAAACAAGAATGGAACCTTCGGTTGCGAACCCAAACAAAAGCAAGGCAAAAAAGCCTGGCCAGTAATTTTGGGTAAGCCCCATACTTTTTCGACTTTTATTTATTTATTTATTTTTAGCATAATATATCAATTTTATAATATATTCGTGTTTTTTTTTTTTGGTAAAAATAATACATTCCGTGTTCAAAGTTGAAAATGGTGTTTTTTTACTGGGAACTGCACAAAAAGGTACCTGTATGGTGCTTGTATGATTACCACCCCTCGGTCCAACATCTCGGCCTTCTACTAGTTCCCAATCTCAATAACACGGTTCCCCTCACGAGAAGCAAAAGGGCATTCAAAAAAGAGATACTTGTATGGTTCCTCGGCAGAATAACACAACAAAAAATTGAACTTAAACGCATACTTCTCCAGTTCAGTACCTATCCTTTGTATCCTTTCTGTTCAACAGACCTTTCAGTAGCATCTAGAGAATAAACTGGTGTCCAGGAATCCAACCAGAATTCCACGCCAATCTAAACCAAGGAATTATATGAACCTGGAAGTCTATAACCTCATCAATTGACAACTGGTAGCTTTATTGATTGAGAAGCCCCTGACTACAACAAAAATTTATTCGTTCCCTCAGACAAAGCCAAGCCTTTCGATCTCAGCCCCTACACCAGAATATCTCTTTTCAAAACCAGTTGGTATCTGCCATCCAAATTGCCCCCACTGGGAAATTTTGCTTCATGCCCCGCAGTTAGTGATCTCAGCCATATTTTGTAGCCTATCACAAAGTCTGTCTCCTGGTAGCCAACACTCACGGAAAAGGAAGGTTTGCCTACCATCCCTAACTTCAATACTAATTACTAACACCATCTCTTATCATCTTTGTCACCTATTCACCTAAAGATCTTTTCTTAAAGACCATGCAGGATCCCGTGGACTTTTATTTATTTTATTTCATTTCGAATTTTCTAACTAACCATGAAACTGGACTTTTATACAATCAAGTTTTGATATACATGTGTACCTCCCGCTAAAGTCATCCGTTTCTCCTTTCTTAATCCCTGCAGGCAATAGCCTAGGGCTTGGAGTAGTGTGCTTACTTATTGGTACATACTGGTTGTACAAAATTTTAAAGAAGAGAAGGAAAAAGAACCTCCAGATGCAGTTCTTCAAAGAGAATGGAGGTTTATTATTGCAGCAACAACTTTCTTCAACTGAGGGTAATATTGAAAGGACCAAAATATTCAGCACCAAGGAGTTGGAGAGGGCAACTGACTATTTCAACAAGAATAGAATACTTGGTCAGGGAGGCCAGGGCACTGTTTATAAAGGAATGTTGGTTGATGGAAGAATTGTTGCGGTTAAGAAGTCAAAAGTACTGGATAAAGAGAAAGTTAAAGAGTTCATCAATGAGGTGGTCATTCTTACACAAATTAATCACAGAAACATTGTTAAGTTATTAGGTTGTTGTTTAGAGACTGAAGTTCCTTTGCTAGTTTATGAATTCATCCCTAATGGGACACTTTTCCAGTACATTCATGATGAAAATGAAGACTTCCCGTTAACCTGGGAACGACGGTTAACAATTGCAGCAGAAGTAGCTGCAGCCCTTTCCTACTTGCACTCGGCAGCCTCCATTCCCATTTATCATAGAGATGTCAAGTCCTCAAATATTCTACTGGATGAAAAGTACAGAGCAAAAGTTTCAGACTTTGGGACATCAAGATCAATTGCCATTGATCAAACTCATTTGACCACAAATGTTCAAGGCACATT